GTTCATTTGTTGTGTATGGATTTGTCCTGCATTTATTTCAGTGTGCAGACATGCGGGGTGTATCATATACAGACCTTTGAATGTGTATTTATTCTTGTGTTGTATAATATGCTTTGATTCCGTGCTTTCTATCTTGTAGAGTCACTGTGTGACTTCAGTTTTGAAAGGAGCTGATGGGTTACTTGCTTTGATTTATCCTTATTCAATAAAGGAACTTCATGTTACTCTTTGATGTGTATTTATATTTATATGGGATGTGTATTTATATATAGTCTATGGGAAACTGTAAATTATCTAATGATTGCAAAATCATCTAAAATCATCATTTATCTAAAATGATTGCAATTAATGATCACAAATGTTTAAATAATGACAGTGGGTCTGGTTGAATGTGATAACAATGTGCAGTGGGCAGTGGAATAACTATTGGTTTCCGTATGTGGTGACTGCTGACTGAGATAAGGGATGAGATTAAATAGATCCTGGAACTTAGCCTGGTCTGGAGCAGGCTAACTCCACAGAATAAATCTCCATGGTAACTTATGTCATAACATATCCCGCTTTCCACTATCCCGGATAAGTTGAGCCAGGATAACCAAGATATCCTGGCTTAATCCCTTATCCTAGTTTTGTGCAATAGGCCCCAAGTTTTGGACCTTGTCCAAAAAAAAGAAATTATAACTGGCTAAGGAAATGTCTATAGGATAAGAGTAACTCTAAGATTAATTTTCACAGCTATTTCAGAACTACTCTTATTTATGCTCTAAAATGTTTTTTGTTTGTATTGCAATAGCAATACTACTGCATTATTTGTGTTTTTAAAGGCAGCAGGTATAGGTCATACCATTTTTCTTTATCTTGATTAATTTTGCACATCTGTGCTGTCATATTTGACTAAAATGTAAAATACATCTTGATGTTGATATGTTTAGTGTTGTGTCACATGCCATTAAATTAAATTATGTGGCTTATTACCCTGTTACCTTGTCACTTCCATTCCATTTTGTGTGCTAATAACTTGCTAACAGGAATGGTGTTTTACTGAACTTTCGTGTTCAGTGTTGTCATTTAGCATTTAATTACCTGGCTACTTACCCTGTAGATGCTCAAGGGTTATTCTGTGTCAACTCAATCAGATTTTGGCAGCTAAAACTTTAGATTTTGATAGTATATCATTTTAAAGAACTAAAGTCGGTCCCCTGGTGCTGTATTGTGGCTGTTTGTGGTTATGTGGTTCTTTAGCCGCTAAGGAGAGGTGCAATTAAATGTGAGAGGATGATAAATCACTCAGTAGACCTCTGAACAATTTGTCCCCCTCACTTCTGAAATGATGGTTACGTCTCTGCCTGCCCCTGTGTGTTTTCCCTCTGTTTTGATGACTTCACCTGTGTCTGATTGTCTGTCGCACTCTGATTAGCCCCACCTCTGTCTCCTTATCTTTCCCCTCACCAGAGTATTTGGTGTGTGTCACAGTATTTATGATCCATTTCACAAAGTAACAAAATTTAATCATCAGTTGCAACTTTATAACAGCCATCCAAATAAAGTTGGAATAATTCTCTCATCATTAATTTATTCATTCGTTATCATACTGCCGCACTTGACATTGGGCGAGAGGCAGGGTGCACCCTGGACACTCTGTTATTGCACTATGCACTTTACTGCGTTAGGGCATGTGCAATATACCCGGGCGTCTGCAATACGCACTCAGCACTTTGGCACTCTAAACTTTAACTAGCACACCTGCACTTTGTAACCAGATTGAAATTTCTATGGTCGCCCAACTCTTTGCCTGTTGTGTGCTTTGTGGTTTACTTATGTTGTCCTTATATTGTTCTTCTCTTTGTATTTTATTTTCTTTTGTTGGCATTGTTGATTTTGTTAATCATCAGTTGCAACTTTATAATAGCCAAAATAAATATCCAAATAAAGTTGGAATAATTTGCTCATCATTAATTTATACATTCCTTATGATACCGTTTCCTCCCCCAGTCACGTGGACTGGGGGAGGAAACAGGAGTACCGGAAAAAACCCACACAGACACGGAGAATATGCAGACTCCACACAGAGGGGCCTCCAGCCAGCCAGCAGGCAGGATTGTACCCAGAACATCATTAATTATCATTTCATTGTTTGTTAACAGTAAAATAACTATTGACTAGTGATGGTTATTATAAAGTGTTACCAATTAATATTCAGAGTTTACTCATTCAAGTAAAGGCACCAGAGAGGTGCAGACAAAATGTTTACAAGTCATATCATGACTTACCACCGCTGTTTTGTTTCATGTCCATGTTTGGGTTACAGAGTGCAGAGTAGCTGTTGCTGCTGAAGTGAAAATATAGAGTTCCGTGTCCTTCTGCTGCTGCTAATGCTTCTCCTTTTATTATCCAGGGCCCCAAACCACACCCACAACTATCTCCATATCATATGTCACAGTGAAAGTAAATCTGAATCTTGATATCTGCTGCTCACTATTCAGGTTAAGTACAATATGCATGAGCTTTGTGCTGTATGTAAAAGTTATCAGATCATACATCAGAACATATTTCTGTTTTTTTTCCATCACCAAAAAGGTTTGACATTTTGTCAGCATTCAAAGGGTTAGCTAATTAATATCTTTGCCTTTAGCAAACATTTCTATTTCTGTCTCAGTCCTGTTTTGTACATTTTAACACAATTTTGGACCATCATTCCCACATTTGTGAAAGAAAAGTAGAACACTTTTTGGGTAGGGGAAACTCTGACTAAACCATCAAATCTGAGTTATTTAAATGCTGAGCCACAGCAAAAGAGGAATGGATTGGAATCATTAAAGAAATATACCCTAACCCTAATTTCTGGAGGAAAACAACTCATTTTGATACAGCAGCTCCTCAACATATAGATATACACAAAAACAGTATATATGTATGTTTCTGGAGTAAAACAGCCCCCTTATAGTGAGTACCAAAAATACCAAAAATGGATCTTGGACTTATTTTTTGGACTTTTATTTGAAATGCAATGCAATGCTCTCATTCCCCTCTTTCATCTCTCCGTCTTTGCACTGACAAACATACACAAATGTATTGTATTCAACGAGATGAAAAATTACATAAATATGAAAAAATACTAAAAAGAAGACTAATAAATAAAGCCCTCTCTCTGCTCCTCTCTCTCTTTGTACTGTCAACCAAAAGGCAAATAACAACCAAAAGATGTGTTTTATATCTAATGAGAAGTCACACCATTTGATCTTACACTCTTACACTCTTCTTTTTTTTTTTTGAAAAAACAATCTTATATCCATGATGAGTCTGTCTGTCTGTCTGTCTCTCTGTCTGTCTGCGCACACACACACACACACACACACACACACACACACACACACACACACACACACACAAACAATAGGAGTCATATAATGTTAATGGACATCAAGTCAGTTAACTAGTCAGATACAGACAGTAGCACCTTGGCTTTAATATTAACACATGCACATGACACAACAGCTAGCTTCTCTCACTCCAATTCAGAGGACAGTGGTTGACTGACCACCTGTAACGTTTCCTAGCTAGACAAGAACTTCAGCTAACTCCTACCTAACAACATAAACAGTGATCTGACTGATTCACAACTATGCTTCAAGCAACAAGTAAAGAGAGCTGTGAACCGAACCAAATTCAACCTGTCTAACTTCAGATACATAAGAAACAACCAACTATGACTACTGAATCAGCAAAACTTTATTTCAGTGCTATGGTAATGCCACATTTAACTTATTGCAGAACAACCTGGGCACTGGCATGCTTAGATCAGCTGAAATTGTGTATAAACAGGCAATCAAAATTTTAGACAAAAAAACAAAGTATACCACCATTGCAACATTTTCAGAAAATATTGTCTTCTGAGTTGGGGAAACGCAATAAAACATGCAGATGGTGTCTTGGTGTACAAAAATCTCCATGATCTGGCTCTGATTTATAAAAAGGAACCCTATGAGGTCAACAAGAGCCAGCTCTAGAGGGGACTGTGTCAAGTGTTTTTGGACAGACGGTGTTTTCATATCGAGCGTCCCAGACATGGAACACCATACCAAGTACTATACAGGATTCGCCAACTCTTGCCTCATTCACTAGACATTTCAAAACATGGCTAATAGAGAATCAAATTTGCACTCATGCGTCTTAAGAATTTTATGTTATTTATTATTATTATTATTTTAATGTATTCTCTTATTATTGTTCTGTGTATCTGTGCAACTGGTTTGTTGGGGTACCATATTTGTATGTGCAAGTGTGTCAAGTGTTGTAGGTGACATTGTGCAATATGAATTGGCACTTAGCAAATTAGCACTTTACAAACTGCACTATGCACTTTACTGCGTTAGGGCATATGCAATATACCCGGGTGTCTGCAATACGCACTCAGCACTTTGGCACTCTAAACTTTAACTAGCACACCTGCACTTTGTAATCAGATTGAAATTTCTATGGTCGCCCAACTCTGTGCTTTGTGGTTTACTTATGTTGTCCTTATATGTTCTTCTCTGTGTATTTTATTTTATTTTGTTGGCATTGTTGATTTTGTGTGTTTGACACCAACCTGCCAATAGGACTGGAGATGGAAATTAGCCACCTGGCTATAATCTCGTGCATTTACATGTAAATATCCATAAATGCACATTGTCCCATTTAAAAAAAATGAATCTCAAATCTATGATTCAATGCAGCAAAAATCAAGACTGGTGATGATAATAATGTGTTGGTACTGAGTGGTAGAAGTAAAGAAATTTGTCACATATCCTGGCTTAAACCAGGTACTTACATCAATACTGTATCTCACCCACTCTGAAAGACAGCGCATTGCTCTGTGCAGATGGAGCGCTCAAAGCCCAGTAAGGGAAAAGTGAGAGGGATGGGGTGGATCAAACCATTTTCGAGGCAAGGGGGGGATGAATGAAGCTGAATGAAGCACCCTACATCAAGGTGTAGGGTGTCAATGCAGCGGCAACCTTTGGGACACACTTCCCTCTCTGCAGCTGAAAAAAGGAGCTGTCATTATATTTGGTAAGCATGGAGAAAAGTAAAATTACTCCCATTTTAAATCCTTTAAATGTATTTGTATTAATTTTATTTGATCTGTGCTGCTGTTTACCAGAAGTTTGGTAGCGTATATTAACCATTTGCCATTAAAATAAATAGCTGAAATAAATCAATCAGTAAATTTATCTGTTTGTATCTATGTGTGTATTTCATGACTCAGTTTGGTGTTATCATTTGCTGGGTTGTTCAGCAAAATGTTTGTGAACAAAAGTCTTTTTCTCAAATAAAAGATATGCTACAAGGGGGAAAATGAGATCACAAGTATGTTCAATTTTATCTTTTGTGAATAAGTTGCTTTTATTCAGTAGCATACAGACGGTAGCTGGCAGGAAATGATGGGACAAAGAGAGGGAGGATGACATGCAACAAAGGTCTCCAAGCCAACTGGACCTGGTAAGTAACACAGGCTTTCACTCATTTAAACTTGAAAGAATATGACATTTATTAAAGTTGTTAAAAAGCAAATGTACATACACAGAAATTCGTCCTGTAAAAGTTGGGTAACATTAGTAAAACTCCCCATCCGTCCTCTTACATCCCCTTGCATCCTTCTCTCTTGAAGACAAACAAAACTTTTTATTTTTATGTTCACGACAATCTGCACCAACTTGTTTTCAAGCATAAAATAAGTATAACCTTGACATGTCTTGTCATGAAATGTATTGACAACTAAAAGAATTCCCATTGGATTTTAAAAAAGAAAATGAAAGTAATCTCTAGGCATTGGTGTAAAACACCATGATCTAATGAGGGACTCAACCTTACTATTCTGCTTTAGTAAAGTAAATGTGGTCAGTGACAGAGTAATGAATCATCATCAAAACAAAAGGAGAACATAGAAGACACAAACTTTAACTAACTTCTATCATGTGACACTTTTCAAATTAAAAGAACTAAACTGGTGTCTGATAAAAATGAACTGAAATATAGGACATTAATGGAAATGTGCTAATCACAATAGCTAGTAATGAAATGTTGAACAAACTTAATACTAAAATCTTAATGAACACTAAGTAGAACACCCACTCAGCTATAATTTTAAGCTCCATGATTTAAATCGATGATTAGAAGTTCCTAAAAGGTTGACATGAATTTGATCAACACCCAACCAGTTATAAGATTACACAAGGAAATGAACTGCTCCTTTCAGCTTGATGTCTAGCCATATTATTAAACCTTTCAGACAATCTTTGTTGTTCATCTCTCAGTTCTCTTTCATGATTTGCTTTTAATTCATTCATCCTGTTTGCCATATCCCTTTCTCTCTCCTCTATTTCTCTCTGTCTCTCTGCTGCTCTCTCTTCCCTTTCCCTCCTTCTCTCTTCATTCATCTCCTCCTTTGCCTTCTTCATCTCCTCCTCTAACAGTTTTCTCTCCCTCTGCCTCTCAGCCTGGAGTTGTTCATTAAATTTCCTCATCTGCTGTTCATATTTCTGCTGTATTTTCCCCTCCAATTCCTCTCTTTCTCTGCGTATCTGCGCTTCTTTCTCTTTCAGGATGCGTTGTTTCTCCTCTTCGATTTTCCTCTCGGCCTCTTGGAACATCTCGTTGGTGTAGTGGCTGCCTCCGTTCCTCTGGGCTATATTTCTGATCTTCTGGAGCAGCTCAGTGACCTGAGAACGATCTTTTTTCTTATTATTGAAGACATGGTACTGGCCATTACATCTGGCCACGAGTTCCTGCAGGTCAGGGCTTTCAACCAAGAAGTCCTCAATAGTTGTGTCTTCAAGAAGGTCACCATGAGTAAAGAGAACCATGCTGTATCTGTCTGCAGCCTGGCCGAAGATTTCTTGAATCTTTTGCACCGTCTGCTTTTCCTCATCAGTGAATCTGCCCAGCCTGATGACCACCAGGAACACGTGGGGTCCAGGAGCAGCGAAAGAGATGCACTGGCCTACATCTTTAGTTGTTTTGTCCATGCCGAACCTGGTGTCAAACAGACCGGGGGTGTCAATAACAGCAACCTGTTGCCCGTCCACCACAGCTTTGCCCTTGGAGCAGTCTACAGTCATTGACCTTGCGCTGAACTTTGATTCAAAGCACTGTCGTCCCAGGATGGTGTTTCCAGTGGCACTCTTCCCAATTCCAGTCTTCCCCACCATCACTATCCTCAGCTCTTTGTCATTTCTGAGGGTTTCTGTATAGAAGAACAATTAACATTACGTAAGTATTGACAATAGGCATTTATATTATTCTATAGAATTGATCTAAATCAGAGTGTAAATTTATAGATATAATTGGGTGGAGTTATAATATAAAAGAATGACTATTATAATAATATAGAATAACATCCTCCTGAGGCCTAAACTTTTGTTAGATATGCATTTTTAATTTCTCCAAGCTATTTAGGATCAATAGGAAGTATGAGAAACGTAAAATTTTCAGCGTCTCATTTTAAATCTCAAATTGGTCAAATTTGTTGCCATATCAAACTACAAACATTATTAATAATAAATAAACAAGTTTCAAAAATAAAATGTGATCAGGTTTTAGACCTTGTCCACTTTTGTATTGGGATTGGCTGCAGACTGATTTGGTAGAGATGGCTGTCATCTTGTTTTTACATGGACAAGTGTATTGTGGTCTTACCACCACTAGATGGCACAAAAAGTGTCCATGAACGAGGACAACATGTCCAAGTTAAGTTGAATGAAGTATAAGGTCAAGTAAACTCAAAATGTGACGTTCTCATATGAGGACAGAGGGTCTCAGGAGGATATAATAACTATAAGGATTATATATTAGATGCATAGTATCTGAGATTATGAGTTTTCACCATGATTTAAGGTCTGACTCATTTTTACCTGAAGTAAATGAATTTAAATGAGGCAAAGATTGGATGCAAAATATGTGATGCCCACTAATGTGAGAGAAAGTTGGAATTTGTAAAGTGTTAAGACAGTAAATGATTGGTAATACTTATTATAATAACCATCAGTGATGGTAAGTGACGTTAACTAAACATTAGTCAATAGTTGCTTTACTCTTAACAAACGATGAAATGATAATTAATAATGTTTGCTAATTATTTGGCAATGTCATAATTATTATTATTATTAAATTATTTCAACAATTTATTTTGCCCATATATTTTATTTAATTATTTGAAGGATAGTCCCTTAAGATGAATCATCTTGTTTTTGAGGGAGTTGATATAACATCTTACATATTATATTAAGTAGTTGTTAATGATTACCAAATGATTTTTAAACCTTAAAAAATTATTTGTGAAAGCACTACACAGAAAAATGGACCGCATATTCATTAACAGTTTCTTTATGGTTAATAGTTGTTTTTTAAACTGTCCATAAACATCACTGGATTGTCACAGCTCAAGTTTCTTAGGGTATTTTTTTATGTCATTCATCTATGTTGCCTCCTGTTTTACTGTGAAACTCACATCGCCTCTTGTTTCAGATCCCTTCACTTCCTGCCCCTGTGTGTTTTCGACGACTTCCCCAGTGTCTGATTGTCTGTCGCACTCTGATTAGCCCCACCTCTGTCTCGTTATCTTTCCCCTCACCAGAGTATTTAGTGTGTGTCACAGTATTTATGATCCATTTAACAAAGTATTATAATCATCAGTTGCAACTTTATAATAGCCATCCAAATAAAGTTTATGGATGGATAACAAGCTTGGTAAGAAGTACAGCTTTTTTTTTTTTTTTTTTTTTAAATGAATTACTTCTTAAAAGGTATAAAAGTCATTAGCTAATAACTGACATATACTTAAGATAGTATATGAATTCATGTACAGATATAAATTGATAAATTATTGCATTACTAAAAATTCATTCATCATTGATTTATTCATTTATTATCATACTGTCCCAGCTGACATTGGACGAGAGGCAGGATTTACCTTTGACAGGTTGCCAGACTATCACAGGGCTGACAAATAGATACAGACTATGAGACAATTAAGGCTCACGTTGACTTCTAAGGGCAATTTAGAGTCACGTGGACTGGGGGATGAAACAGGAGTACCGGAAAAAACCCACACAGACACGGAGAATATGCAGACTCCACACAGAGGGGCCTCCAGCCAGCCAGCAGGCAGGATTGTACCCAGAACATCATTAATTATCATTTCATTGTTTGTTAACAGTAAAATAACTATTGACTAGTGGTGGTTATTATAAAGTGTTACCAATTAATATTCAGGAGAGCTGCCGGAGAGGTGCAGACAAAATGTTTACAAGTCATATCATGACTTACCACCGCTGCTTTGTTTCATGTCCATGTTTGGGTTACAGAGTGCAGAGTAGCTGTTGCTGCTGAAGTGAAAATACAGAGTTCTGTGTCCTTCTGCTGCTGCTAATGCTTCTCCTTTTATTATAGATCCAGAGCCCCAAACCACACCCACAACTAGCTGCAGCTGAGCTGCGCTTTGTATGTCACATTGAAAGTGAAACTGAATCTTGATATCTGCTGCTCACTATTCAGGTTAAGTACAATATGCATGAGATTTGTGCTGTATGTAAAAGTTATCAGATCATACATCAGAACATATTTTTTTTTTTTTTTTTTCCATCACCAAAAAGGTTTGACATTTTGTCAGCATTCAAAGGGTTAGCTAATTAATATCTTTGCCTCTGGCAAACATTTCTATTTCTGTCTCAGTCCTCACTACTACTTCTGCTTTCTGTTTGACCCCAGCCCATCATACCTTAGAAATTCCCTCCACTTCCCTCAACAAGTTCACCATTGTCACTGTTGCAGTCTTAAACACGTTACAAAATGAGGAAGTTAATGCGCGAAAAACAATCACGAGGTGAAGTCTGGCTGTCTCTCCCCCTCCCTCACTCACTTACAAAAAATCAGCACAGTTCTTTGAAAGGCTGCAGCAGCTCCCCCACCATGACACAAACTTCATGGTTGATACTAGCCCAATGGTTCAAATGATTTGTCTGCTTCTGTCTCTAAACAATACTCACATGCCCACATTAAAAGAGATACAGTTGGCTGAATAAAATCCACAGTATTTGCTCTGTGTAAAAAGTTCATCTGAAGCTGAATTGAGGCTTTAGGCAGAATAATATGGCTATCTTCCAAAGTGTTGGTCTTTTTAGAATGAAATTCGACATATAGCCCATTGAATAATAGCCCACAGTATACCTAATAATGTGAATTAGTCATATTAGTTGACATATTACAAACATGGACTATTCTATGAGTGATATATGATGTCAGACAGAGAGGGAGACAGAATTCTAGTCTGTTAAACCAGGATGACGGGTAAAAGGGGGAGTGTGTATAGGCAGAGACCCGTCAGTGGTTTGTTTCAGGGTGTTCATGAAAAAGAAGGAGAAGAAAAAGAAGATGTGCCATGTGATGAGCTGAGAGCTTTAGGGTTCAAAAGTCTTATGGCCTGATGGACGAAGCTGACCCTGAGCCTGGTGGTTCAGGACTGGATGCTGCAGCACCATGTGCTGGACAGAGCAGGGGGAGCAGTTTTTGGCAGAGGTGATTGGGGTCTCTGATAATCCTGTTGTTCTTCCTCTTGCACCACTGGTAGTGGTCCTACATAAGTGCTGGCCAGTTTTCATCACCTTCTGTAAAGCCTAACAGCTAATACCAGGTGGTGAGTGCAGAGGGGCCCTGATTTTCCAAGGAAACCTGATATTATATACAGATGCCCAAAAGTTCTCCCCTCTGAGACATTTAAAAAGCGCTTTATACATTAAGATTATTATTTTTTATTGTTATTATTATTTTATTTATTTTTAAGATATTTTTGGGGACATTTTTAGCCTTTAATGGATAGGACAGACAAGTGTGAAGGGGGGAGAGAGAGAGGGAGTGACATGCAGCAAAGGGCCACAGGCTGGAGTCGAACCCGGGCCGCTGCGGCCTTGTACATGGGGCGCCTGCTCTACCACTTAGCCACCAATGCCCCACGTTGAATTCTTTGTCAAGTTGCAATTGTTTTTCAACATCGTAGACAAGCAAATGTACACGGTAAGATAACGGTCAGTTTTCATTCCACCGTACANTATTATTATTATTATTATTATTATTATTATTATTATTATTATTATTATCATCATCATTATTGTTATTATTATTATTATTATTGATTGGTGGCATGTGTGAAACACTATTTCATCTTTATGTGGAGCTTAAAAATGACAAATCTGAATCTGAGTTGCTAATATCTGTCTCACACAACTTTTTAATACATTTAATACACAGGACACTTTATTACTGATACTTGATACTATAAAATCAGAATGTCACTCTTACCAAAACAGTAAGTGTCTTTCAGATGTTTTTCAGATAGTATATGAGTGTAGCTCAGGAAGGCAAACACCTCGATGTTACATTCATGTTTCTGTGACCTTCAAAAGACGGGAAAATAGCCGTGTGCCAACCAACCTCAGTCTACCCTAATTTCTTGGGGACAAGGCTGGCAGGAAAACAGGTACTGTTTCATATGAAGAAGTGTGTCCAACTTAGGATGAACTGGTGGTTGAACAGTTTATAATTAATTTGACAAAGGTTTGGTCTTAATATCACAACTTTATTTCTTGTTCGGTTTGGCACACGAACACAACAAAAGGATCAGTCAATTTATTTGTCACATGAAATCATATGAGTTACAATTCCAGTGAGATGCAATGATGTCAGGACCTTTAGTCTGTGCACAAAAAAAGACTGTTTGATGCAAAGCATAGCTTCAAGTATGAAATTATCTTTAAAATGTTAATGATATGCAAACATTTTACACTGTGAAATACTAAGTAAAACACTGAATAGCTCCTTGGCTGTTTAGGTTATATATATAAAAAAAAGCATGCAAAAAGAACCCTAGATGACAACATAAGAGTATGATATGATGAACAGCTCTACTTAGACACATAATATCAACTTTATGACAACTGACTCAGGTAATGAAAAAGGAAAATTGTGATTATGGTTCTGTAGATGAAATTTTTTTCTGGAGTGCTCCTCTCTAGTTAAACTGCCTGAACCACTCAAAATCTGAACAACTTCCCAAGCGCCTTTCCAAATTCTGTAATTCCAGCAACTACCAGTTTACCAGCTTTCACTATGAGATGTAATGGATTTCCATCCTCAGCTTCATCTCTGGCCTCATTTTCATACCTGGCCTGCACCTCCTTTCTTGCCTTGCTCAGCTGTTTCTCATGCTCCTCCCTCATTTTCGCCATCATGTCTTCCATCTGCCTTTCTTTCTCCTCTCTTTCTCTCTGTCTCTCTGCTGCTCTCTCCTCCCTCTCCCTCCTTCTCTCCTCATTCATCTCCTCCCTATCCCTCCTCCTCTCCTCATCTCTCTGTATTCTCTCTCTCTCCCTATCAGCCTGGATTTGCTCATTCATTCTCCTCATCTGTTCCTCATATTGCGCCCTCATTGTCCTCTCTATTTCCTCTCTTTCTCTGCGTATCTGCTCTTCTTTCTCTTTCAGGATGCGTTGTTTCTCCTCTTCGATTTTCCTCTCAGCCTCTTGGAACATCTCATTGGTGTAGTGGCTGCCTCCGTTCCGCTGGGTTAAATTTCTGATCTTCTGGAGCAGCTCAGTGACCTGAGAACGGTCGTTTGTCTTATTATTGAAGACATGGTACTGGCCATTACATCTGGCCACAAGTTCTTGCAGGTCAGGGCTTTCAGCCAAGAAGGCCTCAATCGGGGCTTCAAGAGAGTCACCATGAGTAAAGAGAACCATGCTGTATCTGTCTGCAGCCTGGCCGAAGATTTCTTGAATCCTCTGCACCGTCTGCTTTTCCTCCTCAGTGTATCGGCCCAGCCTGATGACCACCAGGAACACGTGGGGTCCAGGAGCAGCGTAAGAGATGCACTGGCATACATCTTTAGTTGTTTTGTCCATGCCGAACCTGGTGTCAAACAGACCGGGGGTGTCGATAACAGCAACCTGTTGCCCGTCCACCACAGCTTTGCCCTTGGAGCAGTCAACAGTCATAGACCTCGCACTGAACTTTGATTCAAAGTACTGTCGTCCCAGGATGGTGTTTCCAGTGGCACTCTTCCCAATTCCAGTCTTCCCCACCATCACTATCCTCAGCTCTCTGTTATTCTGAATGCCATATCCTGTGTAGAAGAATGAGTCACACAATGAATAAGAATCTTCATCAGGCTGTACATACATTGCACTTAATGCAGTTCATACAAAGATGAGAGAAGAGAAATGCCTTTTATCTTCTCTTCTCAATTTATCTTGCATACACTATTCAGTTCAAGTGAGTGTGTCTATGGCTACAGACACAGGAAAAGATATTGGGAAGGGTGCTTGTAGTGAACTGAGTAGTCTGCATCTGACCTCGTCTCAGTTCACCATTTACAGGAAGCAGGCAGCAGGTCTTATAATCGACACCCTTTTCAGCTAAACGTGGAACTGCAATGTGGAAACCTCCCCACCTATCCTGACTGACACACAGAGTGCCCCAAGGCTGAGTCCTAAAAACCAGAAATGAGTTAGTATTCTTGCTCTCCAGGTTCCCTTGTCTCAAAGACAATGGGTTTTGGTTAAATGCCTGAAATAACAGCTGAGGTTAACACAAGCTTAAAGGACATCTGTGTTTTAAAATACATCATTAAATACACCTCTCATCAAATTTGAAGCTTTCACGTGTCTTAAAAAGAGGTGGTTGCTAACAAGTGGCTAAATGAGACTACAGAACGTCATCGCACACCGACCACAGCCTTGTTGTGGTAGGAATGTTAAAATCATGTGACCATTGTGTCTTTGTTTGTTTATAGCCTAACAATAGCTTTTAACATCTGGTGTTTGCATTCAGGCCTCAATAATCATGAAAGTGGTGTTCAACTGTGGAGATTATCTTGCTGAACAAAACTTGTAAGCATCATAAATGTTTGTTTTTCTGCAATAATCCAAATTCAAATGAAAAAGTCCAATCTTCCAAAAGTCTAAAAAATGTTTAGGACAAGGGAAATTATTAGTGTTTTTGTTTTTAGTTGTTGTTGTTTGCATTTTAAAATAATTGGTAACTTTTTTTAATTTATTTTTTTATCTACCAGATGCCTCTTGCGTTAACACCAGGCAGATCATGATAGCAGCAGCAGCTACACTCATATTTTGTGTCCTGACAGGACACTCAGAGCAGAGGATCCTAGCTTGAGGTCATGCAAATTCCATCAAAATCAACTATTTAACCAAGATCTTATGACAAAGAAATGCGCAAGGCTCTGTGTTTTTATGCAAAAGGTTTTTCACACTTAGCATTATGGGAATTAAGGCAGAAGAATCCCACATGCAGAGTGAGAAACACAAAAGTGCCATGAAAACACGCAAACAAATGCAAAGTGGTTTTCTCTTTCTGTTTTACCCTTGTCTCCACAACCTCTAGAAGGGGTTTTTATTTGTTTGTTTTTTTGTTTTCAACATTTAAATTAGATACAAAAAATCATGTTTTATGTTACAATAAACATTTAGGCTCACTCTAAGTCACTGATGTTGGTTCACGTTTTGTTTTTGTTGTGGTTATTGTAAAAGTGGTCTTAAATTTCATCCTGAGTGATGCTGAAATATGCCTTTAACTGTAGGAGCCCTGTATAAAACACTCTGTGGTCAGATTATGATCTTGGAGCGAAAGGTTAGGTCTGAAATACAAAATGATGTGATTGTAGTTCTACCCGGTGTAAGTCTACAGAGGTAGTAGTCTATAGGAGCCACTGAAGTGCATTACATAGCATTTGAGTCACTGTTACACCACTGTCAAAACAAACTGTATGTTAAAACGTGGATACAGTGTCATGACTTACCATAGTTGCTGGTCATGTGTGGGTTGTAGTTGTTGCCCATGTGTGGGTTGTAATAGTGGTTGGCCATGTTGAGATTAGAGAGTACGGAGCAGATAGTGCTGCTGCAGTTAAGACAGAGTTCAGCCTGTGTGTGCAACAGCTTCTTTAAAGTGACACGAAGCCACACCCAGAGAACGCTGCCCTCGGTAAAAGTGAAACTAAAGCGTTCAGTGGCTACAAAAGGATTTTTTTTTTTATAGATGGGGTGTACATGAGATCGGTACATCTAATTTTGGATTAACAAAGAGAACAACAGCAGCTTCATCTGAATAATGCCTCACCTCAATCCCCATACGACAACCAATTATTTTCAGTTAATGCAGTATTATTAAGTTTATTCATCAGGATAAACCCTTGAGATGAACCATCTCATTTTCAGGGGGGGTCCCATCATACATACAAACAGATATGAATAACAAGAGACAAAACAAAGATATTAAAGCAACAAAACAACAATCAGCACTTTAACCAACACACTACAACTGAGACAATCCACACAAAATCATCACAAAGAAGAATAAATGAATAGCGTAGGGCCATCTGAAACATGCAATTTAACTTAAAGCAACCAAACCATTTATAAACATGTGAAATTATGTCAGGAATTGTGTATTTAAAAGCAAGTTATTCCAGTCTTAAGAAACCTTATACAAAGTAATGTATTAAACCTTGAGCCATCTCCAAAACACCTGCATAACCTGGAGCTGGAAAGCTTGAGAAAAAAAGATGATAATTAGCTATGCATAGAGTCATGATAATTATTTAATGCATGTCAAAGATGTACGTAAAAAAGTTGTTTTTTCTTCTGACCACATGCTGGCTTGTCGTCAGTGTTTTCTCTGACTTCTTCTTTCATTTCCAAGTTTCCGTTGCTGTTTGGATTCACTCCTCGGGGAAAATGAGTGTCCTCTGCAGTATTTATACTGAGGGGACACATACCACCCAATATTCAAAGAATGTCCCCTACAAAAGCAATCACGCACCACCGTCCAAAATTATCACTAGAAAATGTAATCACAATCATAAATAAACTTGAGAAATTGCTATTATTACAGCTTCCAGTTCTAGTTTTACACTGTACTTCAGTTCTGCATGTGGTTTGTGTAAGTGGTGTTGCCTTAGCTGCAGCAAGACTGCTGTGGGAAGGCATATTCATTGTCAAACACTGCACTGTCTCGCCATTTCATTACTTTCAGATGTGTAAAAGAGTGAAAACTAGAATGCAATATGAGTGATACATACAGTGGGCCATTGTTATAGTTTTTGTAAAATGTTATGCCCTAAAAAAAAAGTCATAAAAAGTAAAGTAAAGTGTGTGCACTTTTCCTGTGAAGCTTTCAATCTTGTGCTCACTCCCTAAAATGATATTCATTCATCAAAACTTTGAGAACCTCTGATCTGAGATTTTTCAAAATGCTCTAGCTCTGGTCAGTTTAGCTGTTGAGTTTATAAAAAAATTCTCCTCTAGGGGGAATTTACCCTCTGGTAAAGAAGGGACTTTTCTCCCCGTGTGCATCCACCGCTGCTTCATTTCCGGGAAGTCCCTGTGTTTACGCTTCGCCGCAAACCTTGCTCTCTCCTCCCTGAGCATTTCCAAGAAATAGCAGTACTTCTTGCAGGCACTGTTGCATAAAGCAGCCTAAAGCTCCTCCCTCCTTTCAGTACTTAGGATAAATTGCAGCTCTTCCTAAACGTCCACTTGTGCTCCACCCATCAGGTGAAAGTGAAACAGTCTGGTAACAGTTTCTTTCTGAATGCCTGCACACTAACGGTGATTCTTGAAGCACTATCTCTGAAACCATAAACGTCTACAGCCACTCCTTTTACCGAGTCGACCAAACTGAATGCATGTTGTCTATTTTACACTCACTTTTGCAAAACTGTGAACATGTGGTCTTTACATTGCTACAGTATTTTTGCCAGTTGCCTTTCTGCACTCATTCATTGTCTTCTGACAAATGAAAACATTTTAAGATAATGAGTTCACTTACAAGTCAAAGCTTGTGTGGATGTGTGTGTGTGTGTGTGTGTGTGTGTGTGTGTGTGTGTGTGTGTGTGTCTTAAAAAAATTTCAAATAGTAATAGTAATAATTAGTCATGATTATTTAATTAGGTTTTAATTCATTTCTGAAATATAGGACATTTTGGAGTTTCATCAATTTTCCCACTGACTTATTTAAAACATTATGTTAACACAATGAACACAACTTGATAATCCAAGACACAGCTAGGCAGATTTATTTGAATAGCAAACATTACACATAAAAGCACCTCAAAGTATTTCATGAAATGCATTAACATTTTATCAATGAGTTCAACAAAAAGTACAGAGAAAGAAGTGAATATATCTACTGTTTAAATTTAAGAAAAGAGAAAAGCAGAGAATGACATGTTAACATTTAAGCGTACTGTGGAGAACACACCAAGCAGTAGTGAAGTGCGGCCTGTGGCGAGCTGCCGTGCAGTGTCTATGGAAAGACGCCGCAGCTGCTCTGAGCTGCAGCTGTTTGAATTTCAGCAAAGTGCCACCAAACAAAAAGCTGATCATAGTTTAACTTGCGGCCAGAGAATACTCACAACCAATCAGTAAACTGAGTCCTGTGGCTCCTGTGACATGTTGACCTGTGTTACAAAATATTTCTTTCCACCTGAAACACATGGACAAGCCCTCCAGACACAAATGAAAAGTAATTATTGCAGCGAGCTACAATTTGCCGCTGCTTTTCAGTGTAAAGCGAACAATGATGAGTGCTTCAGGTTCAGTCAGTGACACTGGTTAACGTAACAGTATTGAACATGGATCAAAGGTCATCAAAGGTCGACTCTTATAAACCAGAAGTTTGTTCCAGCTCTGTGGTGCAAAGTAACTAAATGCTGCCATTCTGTGTTTACTTTGAACTCTGAAGTCGCATAGTTGCCAAGTGAAACAAGTAGTTCAGGAAAGTAGTTCCTGGTTGGCAATCATTCAAAACATTTTCATAATATGGGAGATATGATTTGATGAATAATTTGCAGTGTTAAGGCTCATTTATAAAAACAGATACGTCCATTTCAAAACTTGTAAACATCACTGCCCTCCAACCTCAGTGCGTCCTTCATGATGGCGTAGATACAGCTGATGGATGGCACAAGACAGCAGAACAAATGAGGCAAAGATGGAGGAGGTTGTAATCAGAGGTGGGTAGAGTAGCCAAATATTGTACTCAAGTAAGAGTACTGATACTTTAGAACAATATTACTCAAGTAAAAGTAAAAAGTAGTCATCCAAATAATTACTTGAGTAAGAGTAAAAGAGTATTTGGTGAAAAACTACTCAAGTACTGAATAACTGTTGAGTAACGTCTGATTTTTTTGTAAAATAAGAACATGAACATAATCAATCAATCAAAAATAATAATCTGCAAATTCATGTATTTTAAACGATACCCCTTTAACTAAAACAAAAATAAATTAAATCTTTACAAATATAACATAAATCAAGGCACAAGAAACACAAATATATTCTTATATATATTGTACATACATATATATATATGTAATTATGTACTCAGAGGTGGGTAGAGTAGCCAAATATTGTACTCAAGTAAGAGTATTGTTGCTTTAAAACAATATAACTCAAGTAAAAGTAAAAAGTATTTTGCATTAAAAGGCAGCATTGTGGATGGTGGTTGTCTGTGCAGCCATTATATACGTACATCCCGACACATGGACAAAGAATTCTTTTCACCATATGACCGATTCCTTCCAGTCCGCCATTATTTAAACGTCCTCATCATCTCCTATGGTCGTATCTTGCTTGAACTAGGCCGACAGCGCTACACTGCCTCCACAATCTCTGGTGATACTGCTCCATTTCGTCTGTATCCGTAAGCTTTCAGAAAACGTGCACAGATATGGATGAAATTAACGGAGAGTACAGACAGAAGACTCTGTCCGACTCTGTATCTAACGTTGAGCATAAATGAGCCTTAAAATGTTGCACAATTGCACACATTTCTGCTGATGATGGTTCTTCTAGGTTTTAAACTGTAACAGTGGCAGCATGTTAACTTGAGGTAGCAATTCCTGATAAGCTGTCATTACAATCCTGTGTTATAGTGAGGGGAGAGAGGTTCGACCCTTTCTTCCACTTATAAATAGTCAAATTCACTTCAGAACACTAGCACACAAAAACAAAGACATGAGAACCAAATCAACTAATTCTACATGGTAGAGCATTTCTGAGGGCTTGCTCTGCAGCTTGTATTGCTTGCGCCACAGCTTCTGCTTCCTCTCTCTGTCTTTTTCTGTCCTCCTCCAGTTGTCTTTCACGTTCTTCTGCTAACTGTCTCCTCATATTTTCAAGCTGCCTCTCTCTCTCCTCTTCCTCTCTCCTCCTTTCTGCTTCTCTTTCCTCTCTTTCCCTCCTCATCTCCTTCTCCCTCCTCTCCCTCTCCCGCCTCAACTCCCACTCTCTCTGTATTCTCTCCCTCTCCCTCTCAACCTGGAATTGTTGATAAATTATCCTCATCTGCTGTTCATATTTCCCCTGTTATTTCCTCTCCACTTCCTCTCTTTCTCTGCGTATCTGGTCTTCATTCTCTCTCAGGATGCGTTGTTTCTCAGCTTTGATTTTCCTCTCGGCCTCTTGGAACATCTCGTTGGTGTAGTGGCTGCCTCCGTTCCTCTGGGTTAAATTTCTGATCTTCTGGAGCAGCTCAGTGACCTGAGAACGATCATTTGTCTTATTATTGAAGACATGGTACTGGCCATTACATCTGGCCACAAGTCCCTGCAGGTCTCCTCAATAATCACGTCTTTAAGAAGGTCACCATGAGTAAAGAGAACCATGCTGTATCTGTCTGCAGCCTGGCCGAAGATTTCTTGAATCTCTTGCACTGTCTGCTTTTCCTCTTCAGTGAATCTGCCCGGCATGATGACCACCAGGAACACGTGGGGTCCAGGAGCAGCGAAAGAGATGCACTGACTTATATCTGCAGTTGTTTTGTCCATGCCGAACCTGATGTCAAACAGACCAGGGGTGTCGACAACAGCAACCTGTTGCCCGTCCACCACAGCTTTGCCCAGGGAGCAGTCAA